ATGTTTCTAAACAACAAGGTGCACACTGCATGGTATTTATGCCCATGGGAGGAGGGGTTGGGTAGGTAGTGCTTAATGGGAAAAATAAAGTTTATATACAAACGCTGGTATTTACTGTTAGGTGGGGCAAGGGTGGAGAAAGAGAGGGGGTGGATAAAGAAGATATTTGTTGCATAAAATAATTGAAAAGTTTACCATCCAAATTCTACCACCCACAATATTAATAACTAAATTTACAGGAAATATTTGTGAAATACATTCACTGAAAATAACAAAGAAAAACTGCAAGGTACATTACAGGTAAAGATGGTAACATTGTAAAAGTAAATATAATAATTTGGTGACAGAGGGTAGAATAAATGAGAGTGAATATCTCCCAAGCTACAGTCTGTACTTTAATGTTTGTTAGGTGAGATTTTATGTTGATGGTTTGGTGGATGGATGGATTGATGGAATGATGGTTTGGTGGAACAGTTCCCCGTTTTCTGTTACCTTTTCATAACCACTACAATAAATAGAAGTGGATATGGTGCAGAGAGTGTGTCCTTAAGTCAAACAAGCTAAAATAGGATGTGTCCTTAAGGGTTTAAGTCATTGCTGAAATTATAAATAGAAAATGTATGATGCAATGCCTCTGTTTTTGACTTTGTAGGAAAATATTGTCTTTGTATCTTATGAATTAATATAACTTTGTAATGCAATAGATACTATTGGAACCTAGCAAATCCAAACTTCTGAAATGTGATCTTTAATGAATGATCTGCTTAAACACACCTGTCACTCCTAGGTTAAAACAATATTGATATAATATTTTATATCAATTCATTAATTTCTATTGTAAAATCTAATACATTTTCCTCAAACTAATACAAAAAAATACCATATTTATAGATGTTCCTAGAACTGCCATCATATGGACAGAGATCTCAGATGTCATACCTGGAATATGCTGAAGTCACTCCCCTAACTTGAGTTTTTCCTTGAATTCTTCTATTACAGGTGGGACGACTACTGTTTTCACTTTCCATTACCTTTCTAGGCCCTCTTTTGGCTTTTAGCATTTTTTCATCTTCTCATGATCTTTCTTCTTGATGTTACAGTCGCTGGAAAACACAGAAGAACATATTCAAGGGGTAACTGTAACAGGGTGCGTACAGAAGTACTGTGGCAGGGTTGTGTGACAGGGCAAGGCAGGTGAATGAGACAGGGTTGAGTGGGTGTGTGACAGAATGAGGGAGGGTTAGTATGACATGTTTGGAGGAGGGTGTGTTACAGGAATAGTGGAAGTAAGGGTCACAGGATAAGTGGGGTTAATGTGACAGGGTTAGTGTGACAGAGTGACGAGGTGAGTGTGACAGGATTAGAGGCATTAATGTGACAGGATGATTGCTGAAAGGTTGGTGGGAGAGTATGCCAGGGTTGGGGGTATGTGACAGGATGATTGTGTAAGGGTTGGGGGTGAGTGCAGCATGTTTGGAGGTGGTACTGTGACAGGGTGAGGGGAGGGGAGTGTGACAGGTTTGGAGGGCTTAATGTTATATGGTGTGTGTGTAGCAGGGTGAAGGGAGATGAGTGTGACAGAGTGATAGAGGGGGGGTTGTTTGACAGGGTGAGTGTGGCATGACTAAATGGAATGAGTGTAGCAGGATTGGAGGGCTTAATGTGATAGAGTGAAGGGGGTGGCAGCGTGCCTGGGGTTTGTGGAGAGAATGAAAGGTAGTCAATAACAGTGTGTGGAGTGGCAGTGTTTGGAGGGGGTGACAGTGTGTGAAGAGGGTGATAGTGTGGGTGTGACAGTGTGTGGAGGGGAGTGACAGTGTGAAGGGGGCGTGACAATGTGTGGGGCTGACAGTGTGTGGAGAGGGTGTCAGTGTGTGGAGAGGGTGTGGGGGTGACCATATGTGGAGGGAGTGACAGTGTGTAGTGTGGGGAAACAATATGTGGGGGTGACAGTGTATCAGTATGTTGGAAAGCTGTGTTTTAGTGACACTGAACTACCATTTTTTTAAGTAAATGATTTCATGGTTCAGTGTGGTCCAGTGATCTCCTCCCTGGTGTTCCAATGGTCTAGTCCCTAGTGATCTGGTGGGCTATCACTCTGATCAGCAGCTCTGCTGGGTACAGAGTTGCAGGCCATGTGAGCTCTGGCACTTGAAGTGTCAGAGTGCTGCCATGCTAACCCGTGGCAATGCTTTGATTGGCTGGAAATCGCACTTCACAGTCTGCAGCTCTGCAGCAGCGCTGGCCTCTCTCCCCCAGGCAGACTGAGTGAAGGGGACCCACACTCCCTCCCAATGTCAGAAACTCAGTCATGGACTGAGGGCCTGTGAAGAAAATAGACTGTGTTTTGTATTTTCTCCTATGTTCTGGCTTTTCTGCAGTATTTTGTGCATGTTGGATCTATTAGTTTGGTAGTTTAAAACTACCGAACCCCGACCACCCTCCTGGCTCATTAACTTCAAAAAAACAATCTATTAAGCACTCTCTGGGTGGCTGCTGTTCGAATAGCCGAATGTCACGTGGAACAGAAAATGGTGGCTATCTTGTTTGCACGAAAGGAGGCAGCGGGACTTGGTCGTCGAGTGTCTGGAACTAAAATCGGACACTCGACCTCCCAAACCACTGCTGAAACTACCGAACGCCTGCTTCCTTTAGTTGCTGAACAGCCAGGAGAGCGCCATTTGGTAGTTTTGTTCATACAGACAAGGGTTGCAATCGCTCCATTCGGGACTTTTATTCGTTTTATGCCTTTTTCTGAATTGACCGACCGCACACGCTGAATTCGTGGAACTGTTTTGGGCAGGAGCCTCGTGTGTGGTCGGTAACTTGTGACTTCCATACTTTTTAAGAACCCCTGAACCGATCTGGGTGAAATTTGGATATGTTGGTCCCCCAGATCGGGGCTGGGGATCGGGGCAGGGGATACCTTGTGTGGAAAGGGGTGTTCTAACTTTTGGGAGAATTGTGTGCCCTCTGCCTGGAGATAATTGGGTTATTCCTTAACTTATCTCAATATCTCCCAGGCAGAGAGAGGGCTGGGGTTACTGTAAATCTGTATGTTGATTGGTTATTGCCTTTGTTTACTGTGGGAGGTCCTCTTGCAGGAGGATTTCTCATAAAAGCCAGCGTGGCATCAATAAAATTCATTCCTGTTACACCCTTTATGAAGTCTAGGCTCATGCTTGGGGAATATTCTACTTGCTGGGGAGAAACGCCTTGGAAGCTGCATTCATCTACACTATTCCTCTACCTCCTAACTGCAGTTATAATCACTTATGCTCAGCTATTGGGAAAGGAATAGGAGACCACAGTACCATAACCACTGCAGGTCTTAACAGGACCCAACAGGCCAACTGCCATAAGGGGAATTAACCAGCTGCGAGTCCCCAATTAGTGCGATATATATATATATATATATATATATATATATATATATTGTACAATGTATATATAGATATATACATGTATATATAGATATATATATATATATAGAACATCCAAGCTATGTTACAATCAAATATAGAATAAATAGATATAAATAATAAAAAGGATGGGGTATGGAGGAAAATGATCACAGGTGTGTGTTAAAGTGTCAGTGTACACATATACATATAATACATATCCCTAGAAGAAGAACTTTAGATGCCTATTGTAG